TATAATATATATATATTATTTATAGCACTAGCAATCAACATGTAATGAAGAGATGGTGTGAAGAGCAGAGAAACTGCTACGGCACAGAGCTGAAGGTGGACAACTAAAAGGATAAGCGTTTAAAAAACTAGCAATAACTGGAGGATAAGAAGCCTGCAGCTTTTTCTTTTTTTTTTTTTTTTGTTTTTTTTGTAAAGCAGATGTGCTTACCTGACATAAAATATTACAGTAATTCTTAAAAGTCGGTTCTGTCTGCCAAACTTAGCCATTTTCAAGAGCCACCCTGCGGGAAGGCGTCTTCCCGAGCGATGTTGCTTGGTGGCAGTGTTTTGGAGCTGGGGCTCAGCCCCACGAGATGGCACTGTGTCCACACAATCCAGGCACACGGACTACTGCTGCTTTTTCTCACACCAAAAAGAATATCCTGAGTGGACCTGGTTGCCCTTGCTTCCTATCCTCCCTCCTTGGGAAGACAGGATGGGGATGCCGAGGGGGTGCACATCACTGACCCCATCCCAGAGCCCTGTCCCCAGCCCCACGTCTTGCCAGCACAGTACCCCAGGAAAAATGGAAAAAAAACCAACAAAAGTAATGCAGGGTGAGCGTCAGGTGAGGTGGTGTTCTTGACCACCATATGCATCTGTGGATGCTGCTCTTAATCAGAGAATGCCTGTCCCTCTCAATAAATCCCCTTGACAGTGACGCTGTAAAAGGAAAATGCCCCAGAATGCTTTTAAGAAGATGCTCATCTCTTTTTCTTGAAGGAGAAACAAAGATGTTGCTGAAGAGGGGAAGGGGCCGAAGGACAGTTCAGCTCATGCACCCGCCTTGGAAGAGGAGTCACGCAGGAAGGGGGAAGAAACACAAAGCACAACTGCTTGAGGATGGCACAGGAGGGAGGAAAGCTAAGACCTGTCCTTTAAGAGGCATTTTAGAGTTCCAAGGTGAGTAAAAAATGTCGGGAAAGGGCAGAGCTGGAAGCCCCCCAGTCGAAGGCTCCTGAAGATGAGAGCATTAGCATTGCAATGGGCTGCAGCAGGTGCCCAAGGTGAAAAAGAAGACGGTGGTTTGTGGAAAGGATGTCCTTGCAATCTCCACATTCAGAGAAGGTGGGGCTTAAACAGGAAAAATGCAGACAGATTTTGAAAGTTAAAATGTATGTCCTCTGGTCTCCTGTTTTGATTGAAATGTTGGTTTGGAAACTGCCCGGTTACCTAGTATGAGAATGGAGCACTTTGTGATCGCTGCCCAAGAGTCAATCAAAACCCTGCGGGTGTCAGGGAGCTGAGAAATAAAAAACAAAAAAGTCCCAAGCCTATGGAAATGTCAAATGGGAAAAAGGTCAGATGAAATTTTTCCTTCCATTTTGACCAATGACATTTTCAAAGTTACCTTTAAAGGTGCAATCTGGGAAGCCCTGGGGAAAAACAAAACCAAAACCACAAAAGAAAACAAGCCAACTCCAGGCTTAGGAAGCACACGGAGAGGGAATACGTGCATGGGCAGGGGCATGCGTGTGTGCACAACAGCAATAACCTGGCTGGACACCTGTTGCGGACAGGCTGGGGAAGAAGCCTTCATTGCATCCAAAGTAAAGGACTAACAAGCCTAGCAGTCAAACTGCAGTGATCCGATGAACCAAAGACTCAGTCTTTTCATGGAGCAGAAAATGAAACAGGTTTGCAGTGACAACCGAAAAAGTGAGAGTTCGCTCCTTTTACCAAGTTCCCACTTCACCTGTTTGCAGTGGCCAGGAGAGAGGTGGCCGAGAGGGACAAACATCCCTGGGTCAGCCAGCATGGACCTGCAGGGGTTGGAGGGACCGCAGAGAAGGCAGCAAACTGCAGCACACGGAATTTCACCTTCACCCCCCCGTTGCCCAACAGTTGCCCCCTGCAGCAGAGGCTGCAGCAAGCCTGGGAATGTCTGCGGAGATCCGCCCAGTGCATCTCACCCAGAAATGACCCAGCGGAGGACTCCTAGTAACCCTGGCCATGGGAGCTGCTGGCTCTCAGACCATTTCAAAGCAAAACAAGACATGCAGAGGTCCACCTTGGATGCACAAATCTGGTGGTTGACGTCAGTACCTCCACATGCTTGCACCCCTGCTCCTGAACCAGTGGGCTATGTGTGTTTGGACTGGGAGGCTGACACTGGTTCACATCCACCTCAGGACAGGATTGCTTCTTGGAGCAACCTGGAGGCACCAAGGTAGTGCAAACCAGGGGAGGGAGGGGTGACTTCAGCAGTGTCATCGGTTTATACCACCAGGCATGAAGCACAGCAATGCCAACAGGAGGTGAGCAACCCCTTTTGCACTAGCAGAAGACCTTGGAGGAGGAGTACGACAGCTGGAGAAAGGAAGGACAGACAGCGTATAGAGGGATGCATCTTAGAAGACCTTCAGGAAGGGGACAACAGGTTCCATAAAAACAGGAGTGATTGATTCTGCTGCTGACAAAATTAGAAATAAAGTAATAATAATCCTTGCATTAGATACTAATTAGTAAATAACTATCATAGCAAATTTTTTATTGTTTTTCTGGGTTTCTTCCCCCCCCCTCCCCTTAACCACTCTGGATTGCATATCCAGTTGCCTCATACCACAAAGGGGTGGAAAGGGAGTTGTTATATTTTGAATTGAAAATTAACTCCAATGCTGTGTTCCCCCACTGCCCTACAGCTATCCTCCATGCAGGTGCAGTGGGACTGCCTCGGGGAAGGAAGAAGACGTTACTTGTGTTCCTGCTTAGCACCCAGAGTACCTGCTTTCCAGATGCACATCTCTTAAACTCTGATTTTCGTGGTTTTTTTTTTTTTTTTTTTTTTTAGAAGTAGGTCTAGGAAACAGAACAATGACAGGAGGATCATGGAGAGACAATCGATGTGTAGAATTGTAGCCAAAATCTGAATTCACCAAAAACCAATAAGCTGAAATAGCCACAACCACCTGTCCATAGCCTTGTCTAGAATGGCTTTAAACAAAAAATAGAAAGAGCCATGGACAGTCTCCTTACCCCTGTCCAGAATTTGATGTTAACAACATCCATAGAAACTGGGATTGTTAAGAAAGTTTATCCATATATCTGGATAGCAATAAAAAGCGTTTCCTAGGAAACTGTAAAATCCTGTACCAAGCAGCGTACAGCCAAGCCGAGAGGAACATTAGGTTGATTTATATTTTCAAGGTACAACTTTGCATGATTTCTTTTAGATCCTGTGATAATGTACAAGGAGAGCACGTGTGAAGGTCAGGGCTGGTTTTTTTTGTTTGCTTGCTTTCTTCTCTGAAACGTCTCTTGTGTAACTCATTGGTCTGGGTTTTCATTTCAATTCTCATTTGTAATAACAGAGCATTACCACTCCCTGGGTCTGTCCTTCCTGTTCATGCCAAGGCTGCATCAGTAATTTCCTTCTACTGCCAAAGAAACAACGGTTTCATGTCTTCCCATTTCTTCCAGAACCGCTGCCAGCATGCTCAGGTTGCCATCAGGGAAATTCCGGGCTTCCCAGAGATCTAGGATCACCCCAGTGGGACTCGATTTCGTAGCAAAATAATTTAGGTACCTGCAACAAGCCAAAAGGAAGCTCGTTTGGTTTCTTTTTTTTTTTTTTTTTGAGCTACGTGAAGGCTACCTGAATTCATACCATTTCAAGCCCAGCTCACCTGTCCAGTTTCAGCTTGTGGGCCAGCATCCGCCAGTCGTGGCCCCTGGTCTGGGGCGCATCCAGGCTGCTGCACAGCTTCTGCCGGATCGGGAGGGGGATGCTGAAAGCGCTGGGCCCTACGATGGTGGTGATGGTGCCTGCTGAGTCCATAGGAGGATAATCGATGCCGGTAGGCTCCTGAAGTTGGAAAGAAAGAAAGAAAAAAAAAACCAAACAAAAAATCAAACCAACAAAGAGCAGTTTTGTTACTGAGTGCACAGAGAATTGCAGAAGTGCATCCTCCGAGACTCAGTGCTTTTACTTGCATTAGAAGGGAGCAGCCCTCTGCTAATCAAGCCTTTATGTTAGCTGAAAAAGAGAAATATTTGTAACTGACAGCAGGGTTTTTTTTCTCCTTTTTTTTTTTTCTTTTTTTTGAGTGTGAAGATTACTACAGCTGGAGAAAATTGAATCCAGCTTAATTAATTACTTACTGGAAATAATGAAAGATCAGGCACTTTGACACATTTCAGAGTAAATTGCTGCTTCTAGGGCAGAACTGGGCTTTCCAGTTTCCAGTCCCTTGAGCCCCCACCCCACACAGAGCCAGCACCAGGCTCACACCACTGACAGCACCCATGCTCTCCGATGCCGGGCAGACTGCAGAGAAATGGTTAATACCGCCCCAGGCACAAGCTGAGCCCTCATTTTTATGCGTCTTTAGCTCTGTGCTGGAGATAGATGAAGCATGTGTGCTCAGGGAGGGTGGGGCTATCGCCCTCCTCCCCAAGACCAGCACAGCGCTCAAAGGAGGTGGCAGCTGTGTTAAGGGAAAAGTCACCTCCAAAGTTGTGGATGCCCCATCCCTGGAGGTGTTCAAGGCCAGGCTGGATGAGGCTTTGAGCAACCTGGGCTAGTGGGAGGTGTCCCTGCCCATGGCAGGGGGGGTTGGAACTGGATGATCTCTAAGGTCCCTTTCAACCCAAACCATTCTGTGATTCTATGATTTTGTCTTTTCCTTGGCCTGGAAGGATATATGACCCACAGGCTCGGTAGCTGCTGACAATGGTAGCTGATCAGTTTGGCTGGCTGGGTTTGCTTAGGAATGATGAAGTGCTGCAGGGCGGCTGAAAGCCCCCCTGAACCAGCTGCCCAACAGTGCAGCGGGGTTGCTCCTCCCATGCACGGCACTGCTATCCTCCACCTACCAAAGCACACAATGGAAAATTAAATGTCGATTTGGTTGCTCCTCTGTGAACTGCCTTGTTGCTTTCTGGCAAGCTGGCTGCTGGGAAGGCCCTGTAAAACCTGACACTGTCTCAAAACCAGGTAACGCCTGGCTTAAGCTGCCATTGCAGATCCTCTGGGAAGCTTGTTGGAGATGCTCACAAGCCATGCACAGTCTTAGGATTCCCCCCCCAGGCAAAAAAAGTATGCAGATGGAAAGCAGAGAGACAACATTTGTGAGCAATAGACAGAATTAAACCTCTTTTGCCTCCACTCTTTCATCCACACCAATTAATTCTCTTCCACTCTATAAATATGCTTTTTTTTTTTCCTTTTTTTAGAAATGGCATTTTAGGCCACCAGTGAAATTTCTAACCAAGGGAGGTTTATGGCACACTATAATATCCTCAGTTAACATGCCCAAAGCAGTGCTCAATACAGCATCCCTACTTGGGCTCCAAGGCCCAGCATCACAACATATCCATGGCCGTGACTTAGGGCTCTTTCGGGTGAGTACCAGCAGCACAAGATTAAAAAGGGGGGCTTCAAAAACAAAGAGTGGGAGACCTTTATTGCACTCTTCCTCTTGCCTTTACTGTGCATGTTTTAGCACTCATTGCATTTGTTTTTTTGAAGTCCCAGGAGAAGACACTGTATAAAGCCAGAATAAGACAGTTTAATCTGCCGGTATTTTACATCCTTCACAAGGGACAAAAAAGAAAGCCCATAAAGGGAGGATGCAGGAAGCTGCGTTACTGTATTTTTACCACAAGGTGACAGAGGCAGAAAGGCAGATCTAGCAATGAAGAAAGGTGCCAGCATGGTCCTGCAATGCCTAACCTCTAGCTGTCTGCCTCCCAACAAGAAAGGAATAACATGTGTGCAATTTGAAATCACCAGAAGCAAACAAAACCAGACACAACCTGAAAGCAGAGACCATCACACACCCTTACATGACCTAGTTAGTTACCAGAATAGAGTGTGAGGAACCACAGCTAAGGTTTCCTGATGCCTCTAGAGATACACATTGGCTTCCAGATTGCTGTTAATTATACTTCTAGGTAACTCTTATCATCAAAACAGTTGAGTTATAGGGGTTTTTGACCTAGTAACAATGTTGACACAACCCTTTAGGCCAGCCCTTGGCAGCCCAAGGTCCTCCTGCCCCTTATTGGGCTCAGGAACATCACTACATGTCAACCAGGAGGAACAATTTTTCAGTAGGCAGCCTTGATAGCAGTGGTATTATTCCTTCCCTCTATTCATCCCTGATGGATGGGATCACAGTACAAGACAAGAATATTATCCTGTTCCCTCTGAATCCATTACCAGGTCCTATTACACACAAGCAGCTGAAGATGATTATAGTGTATACTTGCATTTCATTAAAGTTATTCTCAGTTCTTTCTCTTTTCTGTGAGGTTAAATTAGAGATTACCTCAATGCAGCACTTATTACAATAATTGTTTATGATACTTGTTTCACCATCTGTCTTTAATGCTGTGTAGCCCCCAGATGAATTCGTAACTTTACACCCAATAACCAAGCAGATGCTAAGGGTACTGGCACACACCATCAGGGCCCTACAGCACAAATGACTTTTGTTTGTGGTCTCCCAGCCCTTCCCCAAGTCAGACAACAGCGATTGTTGCCTGGGAGCCTGCTCTTCGTTGCGACTGAGAGTACCAGGCACAAAAGCCACCAGCACATTCACTGAAGTCAATGCCACTTCACACCTGAATGTGTCGCTTGATCTCAGCCCTAAGCTTGACTGCCCCAAGGAGCCAGAATTCTCCAGGTGCTATGTAGCATCAGCAAAGGTGTTCCAAAACTTACGATCATTTTTCTACTGGAAAAAGTCAGCCATCAAAAGAAAAACTATCACAGATAATAGTCAGGATTTGTAGCAGCAGCAAAATCTGAGGAGAAAAGTCTACTGCAACTAGACCATCTGATACTCCCTCTTCCACAGCAGTTATTACATGGGATCAGAGTGGCAATGACATTTTCCTATTCTTCTTCTTCCCTATACAAGGAAATGTTGGGTCTTGTGGACTGCCAGGAAACAGGACCATGCAGTGCTTTGCGAGATGTGTTAGGGAGTGGTAGGCAAAGAGCTCCTCCACATAGACACAGAAAGGCAGCACCAGCAGGGAGACCACAGCTGCCCTCCTCCCTCCCTTGAAGGGGGGACGCTCCCTTCCCAATGAGAGAAACTAAGGGAAAACGCAACAGGAGATACAAAGCGATGACTTAATTCATCCCTTACGTCCACCCCAGCAGTCAAGAGGAAAACGGGATGCACTAAACAGGTAGCAATGGGAAAGGATATACCTCCTTAGCCCTCCTGCATTCCAGCAGTCGGATAAAGAAGTACATTGATGTCACTTACCTCTGAGATGGAGCAGTTGAGTTGGAAGATCTGCCCTTCTCCTTCAACCTGCCGCACGCAGAGTTTGCACGCCAGCTCCAAGGTGTTCAGGCTGAACCTTTCCAGCGTGAAGGTGCAGTGCAGGTTCCTCTGGCATCCACTCCAGATGTGGTAAAAGGGAATCTCCTACAAAATAAAAGCAAAAAAAAGAAAGTATATTAAGGGAGGGATGCAAGACCAGGGGGTGGATACTATGTGGCCGGAGAACGTGGGCTCTGTGCTACTGTCACTGCAAATGGTCCAGGGAAAAAAATTGTCCACTGCAGCCTGGCACTGGGTGTTTTTTAAACCCTGTGATGTGTCACTGTATTTCTTTGAGCCTCACTGCTAGGATCGAAGGTGAATGGTTCGTGCTGCTCACCTGGTATTTAGCCAGCAGTTTGCTCTTCCATAGAGAGTGGGCAATGTCATGAATGGACAGGCGGAGGTTGTGGGTGCTTCCCTTAAAATGCAAAGCTTTGGGTTCCTCCAAAAGCTGACCGCCCATCTGCCGCTCCAGCTGGAGGACCTCCTGGAGTACGGTGATAACAAGAAGAAAGCGGTCAGGTTTCATCAAGACAGCACACCAGTCTTCTGAAGCCTCAAGATGGACTGCTGTAGACACTGGAACTTGTATAATACAGAAAAAAAAATATGCACTGGCATCGCACAGACTTGTGTTTTCCCTGTGAACTGGAACTGCACTAGTGGATCTGAGAATAACCCCCTTGAACCCGTCGTACAGTGAATGAAAGCACCCATGTCTCCTTTGGGAGCCGCAGTGTTGTCTGACACGTCCTATAAAGAGAAAGGTTAATTGCATGCAATTATATTGAACGCAAAGACTTTGCACAGAGGCACTGTTTGAATATTGAAAAATATCAGTCTGCTCCACTGCTCACCACACTGGACATCTAATGGTAGCTTTACTATTTTGTTCTTCTTTGTGTAGGTCCTGCTGATACGAGACCTGTGCATACTGCTGGTCCTTCAGCTAGCAGCCTCCTGGCAAACTGCTCCATGCGGTGCAGGAGATAGCAGATGCCTACTCTGACACTAACTGCCAAGCAGGATAGTATCAAAACAAGAGCAAGACATTGTGATGGAGCGTTTTGTAAATATGAACACATTGGTTCAGGGTTACTGAAAAAGTAAGCCAAGAGTCTGGTCATTTTCTCCAGCTAAAAAAAATAAATATTTTCTTGTAACTAATGAGACTACAGTGGATTGCTGCCTAGAAACAGCCTAACTGTAGTCCACACGGAAGATGCAAGTACAAAGGCAACTACTTGAGTCCTCTTAGAAACCAGCACAGGCAAACTCAGTCATATTTAATTACATGAGCCGACCCACCAGTCTCACACAGCCAAAGCCAACCATGCACAAGGAATACGTGGGTACACAAACCCAGGATGCTACCCCCAGGCCAGATAAAGGAGCCTCTGTCTTAGCTAAGCACAAAATGATCTCTTGATGATGATCACAAAATGATGACACTCTTGATCACATTCAGGATGTAGTTAGCATACAAGAAAAGGCCCTGCCCTGGCGAGCCCAGCACCTGGCAGATGCTGAAGCTAAAATGATGTTTGTTCATCAGCCATTAGAGGAAAAGAAACAAAATCAGGAAAGCTTTTAGTTTAAGGTTATGCCAATGAATCAGACACAGCTTCTTTCCAGTGCCCTCCTAATTGCCTCGTCAAGATGTCTAAAGAGCAATCGATAGTAACTATCTGATTACTATAGATCTTCATTATGTCCACATTACCTCCCTGGAAGGGCCAGAAGACGACTTGTGGCACCACGTGAGCTAATTGCAGATGCCACCTCTCAGGCACGCAGGGCACTGGACTGCTCCTGCCTGTGCAGTGCCAGCCCTGGGAGCCACACCTCTGGGGGGGAAAAAGCCTTGCAGCACCCTGCTGCAGTAGCCCACCCACCACATCTGGGTGTCTAGTTTCAATATCATGAAATATCTTCAATATTTTACTTTTAGTAACCACCCTTATTCACCGTAGCCCCTCTGCACACTCCAACTGGAGGATACCAAGCTGCTCATGCTTCTCCCATGCCGCTCAGCTAATTAATTCAGAATTAATTCGGTGCCATGACTTTCCTAGCCCTTCAGATCTGTGGGCTGGCTCTATCCATATGGCATTTTATTTAGAACAGCACTCATCCCACTGGCTGATGCCTCCGTGCCCTCCTGAGCCAAAACCTCAGCTATGCATTGCTCAACCAGTGCTAAGGTGGCTCCAGCTACCCAGCCCATTGCCCCTCACTTCCCCTGTGACCTGGGACTTATGCCTTTACACCCTTCCTAGGAGAAGCAGCTGTGTAACGCATTGCTCCATCATCGGTGCCACCAGGACAGCCACACCCTGTATTCACAAAGGCTCTCCTCATTAATGGCGCAGAAGCGAGCAACAGTGATTAGCGTACGCCATTGCCTTTCTCTGTTAGAGGCAAAAATACAGATTAAATAACTGAGGGAAGATCACATGCCTGCTATGCCTTTCTTTCCTTTCTGTTGGGCGACACTTACTGCACAGCAGAAGGCTGGCTGGGGGACGCCACCCTGCTACAGCCTGAAATCATTCACTTGCCCCCGTGTGCTAGGCTGCTTGTGAATAAACAGAGGAGAATAAAGCAGCTGGATTTCTTTATAGTATTATTGTATTATTGTATTGCACTGTATTATTATTTTATTTTTTTACAGCAGACTAGTTTGGGCATCCTCCTCTAAGTGCAAAAATCAGACTTAAAAAGGAGGCCAGTGCTCAAGGTTGTCACTATCCTCGACCCGCCCCAAGAAGTGTTTTTGTGAGTATCCCACCCCGGTGGCTCAGGACCCTGCAGTGCAGAGGATGCTGTAAGCGTGATCGGCGCTGAGCCTCCTGCTCCTCAGCCCCCAGGAACTCTGCCAAGCCACTCCCACAATAACCAAGCCCTTCTTGATGACAAGTCATTACACCTTCCTACTGTACTGCGGGCACCGGCAGATCGGCAGCGAGTGCTTCCTCTGTGTGAGGAGAGGGAAAAGCCTGCTGGATAAATACTGCTCTGTGTTTTATACCACAACTGCTTCTCTTCCTTTGGTGGCTGTTAGGACACATTCAGCATATGGCACATTCATTCCTAGTTGTAAATAAAAACAGAATGCATTCGGTTGCCTATTAAAATAAACACCAAACTTCCAAACCTCACGTAACCCAATGTCGGCACAACTCATGCTGCTCTTCCCTCATGCCTCTTCCCTCCTCTTGCCCGGAGCAGCCAGCCCCAAGACACGAAAATGGTGCAGCTGGTGCCTCACTTGTTGCCTACAACGTTCCCACCCTCTCCAAATTATTTTTATCCTCAGGACCCACTGAGCCAGCCCCATCGCACGCCTTGTCCTGCACAGGCAGAGGGAATTGCCTGGTGGATGCCCTCCCTATGGCAACAGGGCAGCGCCAAAGATGCCCTCCAGCACACCTGGGGCTGCTGCAGTGCCAGCTGTTGTGAAAGCACACAGCAAACACCCCAACCCCTTTTTTTTCCTCTCTGAGTCTACACATCGCCATCACCCAGGGCTGGTTTGTATACGCTGGTTCATACACACCGGTGCATGCTCAGCACTTTCATCTACAGGTAGTTTTCTAGGTTCATTTTTCTTAAGCCTTCTCCTTCTCCAGACCTTTAATTTCCAGGGAAGGGCAACTGATACATTCATAAGAGATTGTGGCCCCCAGGTAGGTGGGTATGGAACCCCATGGGTGGCCTTCCAGTCTTGGGGTAGATGTGCCAAAAAAAAGAAGAAAATTAAAATGCACATACTTTGCCGTAAAAAAAAAAAAAAAAAAAGCAGTAGGTGCAAGTGGGCCAGTGGCCACCCAGCTCTGTTCAGCTTTCCTCACCAAATAACAAGCTGGCTTTGGGTTCCAGCCGAAGCCCAAGGGCTGGCCTGCTCCCCTCCCAAATGCTGCCTGCAGCTTCTCCGGTACAAGACGGTCCCTCCGTGTTGCCCAGCGCCTCTCCTATCGCACCGAATCGGATTAAGTCTACCTCGCAATGCTCTCCACAGTCTATTAGAAACGCCAACAGCTCTTGAGTAACACCTAATTGGATTCCCCTGGCTCTGACTGCATTAGCTGTCTGTCCCAGGCACCTCTGAGTCACTTATTATTACCTCCAGCCTTGACAAACCTGTGGAAAATTGTGTTATGCAACACAGGCATCAAACCATCAGGACTTTTGAAGATGGATCACTACAAAAGATCCTTTTAACTTTTTTTTTTTTTTTTTTTTTTTTGAAAGAGGGAAAACAAAAGGGAAATCAGACTGGGGAAAATAATTGTTCTGAAAATCCTGATACCACCAGGCCCTGTGCAGACAAGAACTACGCTGAAGTCACAATATGTGCACCAGGATGACTCTGCTTAGAGTCAGGCTTTGAACTCGTTTTCCTGTAAAAGAGGTATCTGGGCACTTGCACTGGCTATGATTAAAGACCAAACCCTCAACTTCTAATAACCTCCATTCTTACCTGTGCAGTTGGAGCTACATATTTCATGAGTGCATCTATTATAGATACCAGGTATTTATAAAGATAAATAGCAAGCATGGTTATCTATCTTCTCATCTGTATATCGTGAGGGTGTGCTTGTGTGCATGCCAGAATTAGGCAGAGAGAGTAAGGTTATATAGTTAGAGATGGCAACAGCTTGGGTTTATTCTACTTGCAAATTCCCAACACAAAAAAGCTGCATGCAAAGAGGTGTAATAAAGCAGTATGAAAGCAGGCAGTGATTAACAGCCCAGAAGCTTCTTTTATCATTATCAACTATTTACAAAGAAGCATTTATATGTTTTCCTCATCTCTGGGGAGCTGGCACTTAGCATTAAAAATACATGAACAACGAATGAAGCCCTGCGTACCTTATGGTCTTTTAATAATGCAAAAATCTTAGGATTCAGGATATGATACAGGTAAACAAAGGAAAAAAAAAAGACTGGTGGGCAGAAAATAGCGTGAGAGCTGGAGAGGGAGAGGGACAGTGAGTGAGAGAGCAAGAAGCACCTTAAGAGCATCCTGCGTATCATTGAGGCAGTAGACCCGGATGCTGTACTCCAGCGAAGAGCAGGACAGTGGTCCAAAGATGGCCAGTTTGAGACGTTTGGCTGCTGCTTTGGTGATGGACTGTCCCACCAAGGCATAGGTGCTGAGGGTTTCTGTCAGGATATGGCAAGCCTCGGGGTCCAGCTGGATGTAGCACGGAGTGGTGAAGTTTTCCTCCCCAACCACCACCACATCCTAAGGGAGAGAGAGACTGAGTTAGCGCTCCCTGCCCCTCAGCGCTGCTCTCCTTTGAGACAGCAATGGCCCTTTCAAGCCTGGATGATGCACAAAGTCATGGAATCACAGAATCACAGAATGGTTTGGGTTGGAAGGGACCTTAGAGATTACTGACTTCCACCCCCCTGCCATGGGCAGGGACACCTCCCACTAGCCCAGGTTGCTCAAAGCCTCATCCAGCTTGGCCTTGGATGTCCTTGCTGCTTGCACTATGGCTTAATCAAGATTTAAGATTCCTGCTTTTCTCCTGTCTAGGCACAGGGAGGGGATGATTTTTCTGGGGTTCTGGTGGTGATGATGGTGGTAGAAACCTCCTCCTGTCCTCTCTGCCCTACGACTTGTACCTCTTTCCTCTGGGCCCTTATAAAGCCCTGGGCAGAGTTCCACAAATAATTAAAATATCAGCAATACTTTATTGAAAAAGATATTGCAGAACTAATCATTTGGTGACCATGACTCAACATCAGTAGTCACAGGCATATTGAATAAATAATCTCCCTTCACTTCCTAAGCAAGCCAATAAGGAGTTACAAAAACTCAAGGAAGGGAAGTAACCTCTGCGATGGCTGAATGCCACATCTACATGAAACATCACCTGCTGCTTCGTTGGAATAATCCTCTGTGATGAGACTGCAGGGTGAAAAAAATTAATACATACAGCCCAAATGCAGACAACCTCCCCACCCTGTGCGTAAAGAAAAAGAGCTCCCCTGCTAATTTCTCCATTCAACCCTGTGTGGAATATCCTGCACACAACACTGGGTGCTTTGAATGGCTTTGAGAGAGAGAGAGCAGAAGCAAAAATGCAGCAGCGGATGACAGCCGCCTCTTGCAAAGCCACCACGTGCACCACGGTGCTTGGCACAACGCATCTGTTCCATCCCCGCTGCCCGCAGGTCTGCGGCACAACGTATACATCTGGCGGCTCAGCAGCGTGGGCTCAATCGAAATGTGGCGTTAAGTTTGCTGCAGGGTGTGTGAGCCTCTCGTGGGAGCGTGTGTACGTGTACTTGGAGGAGCTGCTCCAGAATTAAGCAGAGGAAGAAGATGGCCATGCCCTTTCAAGGGCAGGAGGAGGATGGGGGAGAAAATGAAGCGGTGCCAGTAACACACAGGCACAACTAAGGAACATACGTGCGGTGCCAAGAGTCAGGCTGGTGGGGTGCAGATGAGTTGGCGAGACAGACCCGCGTTCATTGCAGGCTCCCTCCCGGCATGAGGAAGAGCCAGTGCCACGGGCATGGGGACAAACGCAGGAGCCTTTTGAAGGCAATGCCGGACACAGCGCTTTTGTTGCTGTCAGCCCAACGGCCTCCAAAAGCCACCCTGCCCTCATTAAACCTATCGGTAGGAGAAAGTGCCCTTGCCAAATTAATTATGTGAGCCCAAATTGGTGGCCAGCAGGTACCTAGGAGCACATGGCTGGAGAGAAGGGCTCTGCCAGGATTGCCAGGATGCTAAAAGCATCACTTTATGCTCCAGTTACAGTGAAAGATCCTTCTGCCACCCTGCTCCAGGACATCCTCCTGCTGCACTACCAGCAGGGAACCACCCCGGGCTCCCACCAGGTCTGCACCTCCCAGCAACGCTCGTGCTGCTCCCCTGAGTTCACAGGGCGCAGAGCTGGATCCTGGCTGCAGGAACTGAATCAAAGTGATGCTCCAGCAACATCTTAGGAGGGAAAAATTAAAGAAAGATAATGCCTATACATTTTATTAAGTTGGATGATGTCTTGATGCTGAAGCAGGGGATCACTTGCAGCATTATTTTCACTTTCTTGAAAACAGACTATAAACCAGGAGAGTGAAAACTATTCTATAAAAACCATCTTCTTTCTAGAGTCAACTCAGAAATTATTTTCAGCCATTGTTTTTAATTTTGCTTTTTCTCTTCCTTCTGTCCCCATGACTTCGGCACATCCGGTCAAGACCAAAAAGCTCAAATGCCAAAATCCTGGCATTTCCATATTCATGGAAAATAGCCAGAACTAGGAGGCACCAAACCATCACAAGACAGCATCTCTGCATGGCCACTGGGCAGCTTAGACACCAGGCACTGAAGGGCGTTCCTGCATGCCTGCAGCAGCCACGCATCTCCCACAGAAAACCCTAAATCCAGGAATCCTGGTTCAGCAAGGAAGCTGAAGGAGCTGGAGCTCTGGAATCTCACCTCCCAGGGCCCCTGGGCAGCCTGGTGCTTCAGCTGGATCTGCCAGTCCTCCGTGTTGGGTTCTGCGCAGTGGTGCATGGTTAGAACGACGGGCCGGGTCAGCAGGGCTCCTGGGGGTCCGCAGCTCACCACCGGAGTCAGCAGGGTCTGGCTGTCTTCTACGGGTGGCCTGACGAGGGGACAGAAAGGTGGATGCGTTAAGTGAGTTGAAAAAGGTACATTCAGGCACATAGAAATAAAAAATTTTGCTCTGAAAATAATAAGATTGTGCAAGCAATGAATGGGCAAGTTTGGTTTAGTTTTGTTTTTTTTTCCCAAATCCCAAAACTTTTTTTTTTTTCCCCCAAATATCACTTATTTGTCAGAATACAGGTTTAGATGGCAGCAAATTATAGACCACGCTTGCTGAGTACCCCCCATTCTGAAGGATCCTTGGAGACCATACGCAGAGGCTTCATGTCACCCACTGCTGGAACGTGGTCATTGCTGCATTGGGCGCTTGTTCGCAACATGCAAAAGTGCTCGAAAATCAACAGTGGCTCTTGTAAGTATCACGAGTGAGAATTATTTACTGTTTGGCCAGAGAAAATTGAAGAACAGAGGAAGAGAATGAACTAACAAGCACAGCTGAAACTTCGTAAGTGGTACACAGCACATCTGAGATGTGCAGTTTGAGTTCAGAGCCATCACCAAACCCACTGATGCTCCATTTTACTCAAAAGGCATCCAGGTCTACTAGAATGGCTATTGCAAATGTGCCTGCGGGGAGTGGCGCCGCTGGCGGCAGGGGAGGAATGGTGAATGAATGGTAAGGAACAGTGCAGAGGGCAAAACACGCCTGCAAACCCTGAGATTTTTAGTGATAAATTGAAGCTATTTGGTTAAAAACATGGGTTTTGTCCAGTACCCTTCCTGCCCCTCACTAGGAATGGGTGATATGGGAAATCATATAAATATTTAGGATCCGTTGCATATGCTGTGGTTTGTAAATGATAGTGTGTTGGTGTGTGCGTGCACACGTGGGAACTATCCCAGACCAACTGCTGAGGAGCTTAAAATCAAAGGAAGCATGAGTGATTTTAACCATCCTGACATCTGGTGTATGACAAATGCGGCTGAATGTGTCTCATCAGCTGCCTCCCTAAATAAAAGAGAGGACAAATTCATGATCCGGAAACAGCAAGCAGGAGATTGAAAGTGTTGGATGGGATCTGTGCTCAAACCCCAGATCTGTCCACGGGACCTTGCATCTTCCCCTCTGGCTAAGGGTTCAACCCCTCCTTGCATTTACGAATACTTGTATTTACAACTAGATCGATTTCAGTGGAATTAGTTGAGACAACATTAAATCCTGTTTATTTCTGCAAATCTTTGCCTCTACCAAAAGAAAGAGTGAGAAAAAAAAACAGTAGCTGTAATGTTAGATAACATTTTCAAGGAGGTCACATCAGGACAGGAGCTGTTTTTATATCGAATTTATTGCACCTATCCTGGCTATTGCAAAGATATGTCCGCAGTCATATCCTAATTTTGCCCACCTTAATTCTCTCTGAATAATCCATTAATCCCTCAGAAAATGAAAGACAAACTTTTGAGAAATCCTTTACACAAAGTGGGATGAAGGCACTTTTCAAAAGTGTGTCTTGTTGCAACAAATGTTGTGGGAGGTTTTAATAACATTGGAGAAAAAAAAAAAAAAAAAAGGTCCAGCACGGAAAAATGTAAATCTATGCAAATCAGTAAATCCAGATGATATGCAGCTGTGCAAATTAACTGATCAGTTACTAAATGACTTAACAATTGTTTCTGAAAAGCCATGGACTGGAAACAAACAGCTGCAATAGCTGCCTTTCAAAAAAGATATAAAATATAACAATCTGGACAGTTATCGTACATTATGCTGGTTATTTTAGCCTAACAAACAGCACATAAAAGAAATTAAACACTACAAGATAGAGTACCTGGTCCAGCTCCTCTTGCATGCTGTAGGGAGGATCTCCAGATTCAGATTAAGAAGATCAGGGATCACTCTCTTGCAAGACTGAACTAAATAAATCATTGGGCAGATTTTCACTAAAATGTTGCTTCTTTTTCAGACTCACTTCAGGTTTGTTTTTTTAATAAGAAGCAACAAGGAGCTTAAAAAACACTCACAATATGATGGTGGTTCTTAATGGTCACCTGCCTGGTGCATTAATGGACACTTGAACACTCTCCTACAGTTTAATTCAAGAAATAAAAAAAAAAAAAAAAGTCTATGAGAAAGATCTTTCAAAACTACAATATTTGTCTGGAAAACTACAGGTATGACGAACTATAGACTTAATCATCTGGTTAACCTAACTTCATCTAAAAGACTACTGACCCATGAAGAAGGAAGGAGAAAAAAAAAAAGTTATCATATTTTTTTCATACTGAATTACAAAACCAGCAGTCAAAAAGAATATAGGAGGGAATATATCAGCATTGCTATAAAAAAAAAATCATAGTGTCTTTTGGGTGAAAAATGAGTTAAAATCAACAAGAGTCTGAGCACTGATGCATGCGGTTTAAAAAAGCCAAAAGGCCATTAAAATAATATGGTACTGATAAATCATACAGCCTAAAGTTGTCTCCAAGTAAAATTAAGTTACTCACTGCTCCGTGACAACATTTTGTTAGCTGTTAAATTTTAGGACTCTGATGGAGGGCATGATTCTGCGCTGCAACATTTTATATCTGATTAGCAAAGTATCAAAAAAACGATGCAGAACACGAAGTCAGGAGGTGCTCCAGACTGCACCGTCAGCAAGGGAAATGGGAAGCAGATACAAGCATACAAAGGACGTGCAAAAAAATAGCAAGGCTTAGTATTTTTTTTCCCCAAATTGGTTAAAAGCATCTTTGTCACCAGACTTAGGAGATTTATTGCCAAATGTATGAGATATGCATGCTCCTGAGCTGGGAGACAGAGTGCTCTGATGAGTGAGGAGCAGAAAAATGGGCCAGTTGTGGGGGTGCATGACTTTGCAGACCCAATTGCCAACCAGACGCACATCTGAGTCTGGCACCCCAAAGTTATTGAACACTGCTGGTCCCAGTGACTCTCCACCATCCACCACTCACAATGTGGGAGACAATGTAAATAGCAATACCGTCATTAAACTTACAGACAACAATAAATAATGTATTATTGCAAGTAACAATGAGACCCAGAAAATAATGCAAAAGCTCCGGAGAGGGTAAAAATATGCATAGGAAATAAAATCCTATTAATTGTACCTCAGCTTGTGCTTCTGGAGCAAAACAAGTTCCAAACATAGTTATTTAGAAGAAAAGAAAAGAAAAGCAATAGAAGTGAAAAAGATCTCAGGTGAGCTTACTGCAACACAGCAGGCGTCAACTTGTAATGTGACACAGTGGCAAAAAGCAAATCTGATTTCTGGGGCTGGATGGGACAAGGCATGTCAGAGCATGCTGAGCTGATATTCCCTTTCCTCTCCAGCTCTAACATGACTGCAGGTAGCAGGGTGTTCAGGGACTGCAGCGAGATCTCAGAAATAAAAACCTGAAACCCGGAGGAATGAGGCTAAGCCATGCAATGGCACACACAGCAGAGAGGAACCGTATGACAACTGACAGGAAAAAGGAACAAAAACCTCTTGACAGAGCTTTTCTTATGTCTCACAGTTTCCAATTTCCATTTGAAAACTAAAGGATTATGCCTCGATATAGCTAATGAGAAGAGAAACAGGTGCGGTAGACAAGATATATTATACAAGAGATATTAATCTTTCTGCTTCAAGGCATCAACCCAACACTAATTGACGGAATTAGTAAACAACAAATTCCCCTGAAGACAAGCTATTGTGTAGTCATTCATTACGAGCAATTTTCTCCCTTCTCCTGGAGCAAGTGAGGCAGCACCAGCAAAGCCAGCATCCCAGCCTAGGCGAGTGCCTGTTGGAATAGAGTATTGCCATTTCTGTGTTGTCCATCGCAGGAGATCCAGCACAAACACAGACACAGGGGAGCATATACAGCAAGGGAGCTATCTCCTCTAAAGCAGAAAGCTCCAGGAGCAGACATCTTCAAAACTGTAGACCAGAACCTACTTTCAGACTGTTATCCAAGAAAAAAAAACCAAACAAAACAAACAAACAAAAAAACCAGCCCCCCCCCAAACCCCATCCACTTAGGCTTGCAGGAGTCTTGGGGCTACTTATGAGATGGGACTGGGCATTCAGCTGTGCTAGGATGGCTCCAAAGTCACTTCCCCACAGGCGAAAGAGATGTTCTTGTTTTACAAAGATATAACGGACTAAAATTCAATCCCCTGTTCAGCATTGCTTTTAAAAGGCACTAACAGGAACTGAAAGGTCTTCAGATATTTTTAGACGATGTCCCATCCTGCACCGCTTATCAAGAACAGTCAACTTTTATTTAAAAGCAAACAAACTTTTATGCACTATATCTGGTCCCTTCACAATCAAATTTGGGGTTCTTAATGGGATTACTCATTCGAACCCGTCTCCATGTAATAAGCCAGACTATATTCATTAAGGTAGCTGTCAGACAGCAGATGCGAGCACAACTAGAGAAATCTCTGCTCCTCTGTGAGTCTACATTGTGCTCCCTGGCACCATGCAAAGATGTTACAGGCAATTACAGCAGCTCAGGAAGCACCGGACAGAGCAGGGAGAGAGAGATGGCTAACCAATAGCAACAGATGGCAACCCTTCTACATAGGCTAGCCAAAAGTTGCAAGAAAGACATTTCATTTCTCCTTTCATTGCTAGGGCTTTATTTTTAATACGTGTTCCTTCTTAAGTTTCAAAGTTAATATTCTTGCCTGACCCTGGTTTTTCTGCCTGTCTATCTTTAGAAGGAAAATTATCTGAAAAGGTTTTCTCCCCTTTTCCTCATGCTCTGGTCTTTTATTTGAATTTTTCAATTATAATGACTGGCACTTCATGAAATTGTCTTTTGGAGCTGCAAAGTAATTTTGTTTATGCAACTGAGATACAGAAAGAAGGTGGAGAAACAAGATGTGGAGGGCTCCAATTTCTTTTATTTCACATCACTAAGCTTGACTTTACTGGTGAAAAAGGTAACACTGCTCCTCGGATCAAGCTCGTTGATCAGCTGCGTGACTTTAATATAAAGTCTATACATAAACTCCGAAGCCTCTGAGCCAAATCCTGACAAGGCTCACCCCACCCTTCTCTCTTTTAAGGCAGATAATTTGGAAGTTACACAATTCCCGTGTGTCTTCCATCAAGATCTGCAGGAGCACTGCTTGCTCCGTTCTTCAGGGTTGTCACATTTCGTGGGCACAGCCACATCCACTCTCCTTTGCCTCATCTTCTGTGTGATGGATTACATAGGAGTGTCCTTCACTGTGTCACATTTAGTGCGGTTCTTGCCTCTGATTAGAGTATGCAAGAGTAGCTCCACCTAAAGCTGTGCAAGCTCGGCAGGGGCTCAGGCGGGAACACGGGAGCTGCCATAGCAGATCAAACCAGTGGTCCATCAAGGCCCAGACCCTGTCTAGCACTGACCAGTGCCAGATGCTTCCAAAGGAAGCACACAGCTCCACTAATTTAGTTCACAGCTACATTTGGGTTTTAACCTGAGGCAGTCAAGAAAATCCTGAAGGTTGGAGGTTTATACTCATTGCTATTTAATCCTCAATCATCTTAAGACCTAGGCTCCCACAGATACTCATGAGAACATGCTCTTGTCACGTACTGGTCACAGCATTGTGTTTATTTTATAGGTGAAACCAGAGCTCAGGAAGGCAGCCCTCCTTGCAAACCTTAAAGTCAGACATACTTCCCCAGATTAAGGGAGAGTGCATCTGACCACCCCTGAAAAAGTCAACGAGCTTCAAGACAGAAACCTGCAGATAGCTGTAAAATATTCTCATAGGCTTGTCATTTTTTCAGTTGTATGTATCTATATACACACACATACATGTACGTGCACAAACACACGAATTACATACGTGGATAGCCTTTTCCCCACTGTAGCTGCTTCCCAAAGCACACGGACCTTCCCGTGAGGTCAACACACCAGCCAGGGACCAGAGCCTGGTAGGCGTGTGCCATCCATCCTGCCCTGACTGACAGGCAGGATGAGGATGAGGCTGCAGTGCAGGAGCAGGAAAACCAGCCTGCTGGAGGATTAGTCTAGGAAAAGAGAAAACCCACTGCGCCACAAGCAGGCTAACACACTTAAGAGAAAAAAAACGCCTCCAAGTGGCGTTTATTGCAAGCCATCAGAACCCCAATTCACCGCAGAAGGATCATGCTTTTAGGATGACCCTCTGGCTCTCACATGCTTTGATAGATATGGAATGGAATAAACAGAGTGTCTCTGAAAGCTCTCCTACCCAATCTGCAAGGCAACATGAAGCGTGGTATCACTGGCTTGTGAAGTCTCTCAAATTTCTGTACTGCAGGTTTCACAGACTAACTAGGGAAATGTTTGAGGAAAACAAAGGAAGGAAAAGAAAAGGGGAATAGGCAGGACTCTGAGGGATAACAGATTTCCTGTTTCAGCTTGACTGTTCAGAAGTCGTTTCATATTTCTACAAACAAAGTGTGAGCTAAATCTTAAGTTGCTGGTGATCTGCGAGCTGTGATGGCGAGCCTCTGTTGCTGTACAGGTTCTATTTAGGGCAGCGCTACGGGGACCATGTTCTCACCTCAGTGGTGGCTGTATATCAAGAAAAAGAATCTGCCTTCATTTCTGATTGTAACACCCATTTTATAGCTTCCTATACGTCCCCTTCCAAACCACATCAGCAGACGACAAGACTTTTCAACCCATATGCATTTACACAGTGCACATAAAAATAAATACAGGGTCTCACAGGGTTTATCGAACACACTCCAGTTACCGCTTGGCCACAAAAACAAATGTCTGCAGCTAGTCCTTATCGTGGTCTATCACTCTCTGCCAGAGTGCTGTACATGTGCAGCAGCGGATTTAAAAAATAATTAGGCTGCACTCGTGGTCTATCACTCTCTGCCGGAGTGCTGTACATGTGCAGCAGCCGATTTAAAAAATAATTAGGCTGCATGCTAACTTGTGGTACCCATATGACTCCAGCTAGATGAAGCAACATCTGTGGCCCATGGAGTCAGAAAAAAAGGCTTTGCTCGAGCTGCAGCTCTGTTACGGCAAGTGACATGTCTGCTAACACAGTCCTGCAGCAGGAGACCATCACAGCTGGGTGCTGGGTGCCACCCGCCTCTTTCTGCTCCTGGGCACCTGGGGAAAGGGAGCAGGTAACAGGGGAGGACGTCACACACCTACAGGGTTTCATAGAATCACAGAATGGTTTGGGTTGGATGGGACCTTAGAGATCATCGAGTTCCAAGCCCCTGCCATGGGCAGGGACACCTCCCACTAGCCCAGGTTGCTCAAAGCCTCATCCAGCCTGGCCTTGAACCTCTCCAGGGATGGGGCTTAAGCACTTTTCAGTGAATATTCATTTCTGAGGGATCTAGACAGCATCTGATGAGCTCCATTTCAAATGTCCTGCAAGTGGCTGGTTTCCATGTACATGAAGACCCTGGCATCCTGGAGGGGAGCTGAAAAACTGCCATAAATAAAAAAAAATCAGGTCAGGTCTGCACACCCAGGAATCACACCCAGCCTACTCTCTCCTTTCCTCAGGAAAGAAATCACTTCTCAAAATGTTCATTGTGAGCGAGGGTTCACACTTTTCTGTTCACTTCTGCAGGTGTACTTCAGCACACTTGCTCAGTTTTGCAGGTGGCACAGCTCCAAGCACGCTTTTCCCAATCCAGGTTAACCTATGCTTTTATCCCGTGTGTGACCTGCTGAGTAACAGCTATCACAAAGCACGCAGAGGAGCCTTTACGACCCTTGAAGAAAATAAATCAAGACTACCATGTGACATTGGTTGTCTACAGCTGCATGAATAAGGAGGCACGGATTCCCTCCATAACTGGCTGGAATGAAAATATTTGCACACATAGCTCCTCCCAGCAATGAATTTATTTATTTTTTTCAAGAATTAAATATTTCTAAAAGGGAGATTTGAAGGCAAGTTGAATAACAGGGGATGCCCTCTGATTTTAATTATTTTCCCTCTGCAGGAGGGAGTCCTTTTTCAATGCTGTTTGCAAGTGTCTTTAAAACACAGCCAAAAGTAATTCGAATACAATCAATATGAGATATGAACAGAAGCACTTTTCCTGTAGCTGCAATTAGCTATTTTCAAAGAGCAGGCCATGAATAATGTATGTAAAAAAGGGTGGTGGTGGGCTTACTTTTTTTTTTTTTTTTTACTTAAGCTGATTATTTTAACATGGGTGAAAGACTACCAAGCTAAAGAATAGTGTTCAGTATCATGCAGCATATAAACAGCTGTGGCTTAGCACGTAATAAAAGCTATTAAGGGACTGAGCCAAAAAATGTATCTAGCCTTGAGGAGAGGAAAGAGGCAAAGTACTGCATAAAGATTGCTTAGGTTCACATTGTGCACAAGTCCATTCTGCAGACTAAGACCCTGCCTTTCTCTTCATTAGCTTTACCTAAACTGCTTCAAACAGCACCTTGGCCCTTTCAGAAACTATTTTTTTTTTTTATGCCAAGGCTGCCAGATCACTAAGTAGATGTTAAGCTCTAGAATATGAATTGGCCACGCGTGCAGATAGCAGGTGAGAACAACAGGGGTCAGCCCAACATTGGCATTGGGTGGCCCTCCCGTGCTGTGTGTGGGGCTCAGCAGGGCAATCGCTTGCCTACTTCTGCTCTGAGCAACGAGGGGTGAAGGACACCAAATGCTTTGGCTCCATCCTCTTCACTGCATGGACTAGCCAAGCCCATGAAGGGTAAAATAAAAATTCACCTTCATTATAACAGGAGATTTTCTAAGGCAGTTACTCAGTATGCAACTCTGGGTTAGAAGAGCGAAAGCCTGAGCTGGTTTTGTGGCACAGTTTATCCTTGCTTTTGCTTGCATTTAGCTCCAAGTCAGCAAATGGCTTCAATGCAGCTGACTCTGCACAAGCATGTTACCCCAGGTCTTTAGTTACGACATCTTCCCCCTCTGTGAATGCATGAACATCATAAAGGCAGTCTTTTACCTCATGTTCTCCTTCCTGTGAACTGTCAGGTACATTTCATAGACTCTCCCTTGTGGAACGGCCCCCGCTGGGATCAGCAAGCTTACTCCTGCAGAACAGAAGAGACACAGAACATAAAATGGAGAAAAAAGACGCAAGTGAAGGGGAGGGACAGGAGAGGCAGATGAAGCCTATGACACCAGATTTTCACCCAGCCTCATCATCAGACTCTAAATGGTCTCAGCAACTCAAGAGAAAAAGTATTTTCTGCGACCCTGTGGTCCCAGGGCATCAGCTGGACTCTTCTTTCTCCTCTTGTGCGTCAGCACTGGAATAGGCGAGTGGAGAAGAGGATTTTCTTCCTTTCCATTTTATTTTATTTAAAGAGCAGACAGATGGTTCTGCTGCTGCTTACCTTGTAAAATGATGGAAAAACAAACAACTCTGACTAAAACTTCCAACAGCTGTAACGGGATATCTCTCCCCAGGCAATTCTGACTTAATTAAAATTGGGGAAGAATGGCAGTGCAACACTGTCCTGGGAAGCAACAAGAGCTAGTTGTTTCCTGAAAGATGGCTTCTGCAAGTGCCACCCTGTCTTTTAACGCAGTCAGCTTCTAATTAGACTGCCAGGGAGACACAACTGGGCTTCTTGGTATTTTGAATGTGCCTAGTCTTGCAAAGGGGTGCAAAATTTGGGTATCCAATCACACTGAAAAAAATGTGGGCAAAGATGCTCTGTGCCCTCTTCAGTGATGATTAGCTGCACACTTGATTACAAAACACTGTTCTTACGTTACTGCAATTTCAGAAACCTGGCGAGTAACTCCCCAGAAAGCAGAGGGTCCTGTCATTAAGTGAGAAACACGACACATGAACCAGCGACTTCACTCTGCTGGACACATCTCAGCCAGCTGTCCTTGCAGATGTGGATTCGCTGGGGATCAGTGGCAAGCATTTTAATGCGGCTATTACTACACAGCTGAAAACAAACCTACCGGCAGATGTGTTACATATATACATATGCACAAGAGAGGTTTTATAGACACTTTGCACGGCCCTGTCTCTCTTTAACGTACATGGTTTGGGTATGCTGGTGCCCTCCCCTGTGCTGGTGTAGAATTGCTCAGTCCCATACCTGACATTGATGGGGAGAGATTAGCTAGGAAAGCATTTTCCACGAATGCTTTCTGACACTTGTTTCTTTACAGGCCTGCATGACCTCACTTGTGCATGTTCTCAGGGCAGGCGTAGCGTAATGAAGGGCTTTGGTCATATCCCTAGGAGGATATATACACATCTAGAAGCAGCACGGAGGCATACACAATAGTGGTAGACAGATTGATATATTTTACACAACTTATGTTAATCATTTTGAAGGGATTACTGCAATAAATAACAATTCTTTTCCTTTACAAATTGATATTAATATCTGTGAACTAAATGTGACTAATAGACTTTGCTGACAATGTGCACCACCATAAGAACTTAAGTACTGCTATCTACCTTCAGCTGCTACTTAGGGAAATGTGAAATCCAGCATTGTACAGCATGAATTTTCAACATTGCTCAGCAGTCAGCACCAGATTTCTTAAAGCAGTCCAGCTTTCACTCAGGCTTTTAAATCCAATAGCTATTTCTGCCCCCTGTTCCACAGAGAGGAGGGCTACTGCTCACCCACCACTTTTGGCTGCTTCCTGGGCAGTGTGGGGCTGTGTTCTGGAACAACCAAACCACCTAGGTCCTGGCCACTTAGGTGTTTTGCTTTCTCCATAACATCAACAAAAAAAGGAAAGATCCAGCATACGAGCAAGATGTTAATGTTGCTCTTCACTGGCATGTCAAACCCATGGGAACATCCAGGTGCTGAACTTCCTTCGAACATCAACACTTCATTTAGGAACCAAATAGCAGTATGGCTCTCCTAAAAAATCTGGCTGCGAGAGCCGAGCTCTCCCAAGGCTGCACAGGATGCTCCCTGGATGCTCTGAAATTGCCTCTGGGTGCCTGGGTGGCTTGAAGGGCACCTGGCAGCCTGGTCTCATACTGTATGAGAAAGATTGAGTAGCACTTTGCAATAGCAGTAGAAAGTACTCGCTGCTTGGTCCCCCTCTTTCCAAGTTGTAAAACAAGTTAACAATATTTATAACAAGGAGAGAAATATAGAAAAGACACTCTTGAGCATTATTTTCCTTGGGTATGTAACATGTGCAGGAAAAAAGCCTTCAAAAAATTATTATTCTGCTGTCCTGCTTCAACACCACACAGTCTACAACGAATTGGAACTGATTTCTTTTTTTTAATTAATTTGTCCTTTCTATGTATGATGACAAGATTGAGGCTTTCAGAGTCCCTTTTCTAGAACAGCACAAAAGGAAAAGGTCAAGGCTGCTGAATCTCACTTCACACAGGGCAGCTCTGAAGCCTGGTGTGTCTCAGAAAGTGGCTAAGAGCTCTGCAATACTCTGTTAAAAAGGTGGCCAGGACTTTGGGAAAAGGATACTTGAAGCACCTTGGTAGACCTGAATGGGGGTAAAAAAAAAACATCTGTTTGTTCTGAACAAAGAAAAGGCAGAGTCTCAGGAATGACCGTGCTTTTACCTGTAGAAAAGCAAGCTAACACTCCACTAAAAACCACAAAACAACGGAGCCTTTAAGCCAACATGGCTAGCACTTACCTGAATTGGGAATTACGAGGTGACCTCCTAGAGAGTTGAAGGTCCCAAATGCAGTGCACGATGGGTCTGTTTGCCGAGTGAGGCTCTGGTTTTTCATGTTCAGGTTCTCGTTTTCCAGCAGGGACTGTGTAATCTGTGGGGACAGCTTGGAGGAGAAGTCAGAGAGCTCATCCTGGGGAGTGACGGCGCCAGAGGTGTTATAAACCTTGATTTTCAGGTTGGGCAGTGGGTCCAGGATTGGAGAATTGGTCATCGGGATTTTATCAGAGACGTCGTGCAAGGCATAAACAGGACCCCTGTACATGGCTGCAGCAGAAGTGAGGTCTGGTGGGACTGCCAGGAGGTCTGCATTGGAGAGGAGAAGGGAAAACCATATTAATTCTCTATTCTGATGACCCTTTTCTAGGTAACGATTTGGATTTGCTTTCTGCATTTTGCATTTCATACCAAAGGTTGAGATATGCAAAGTCCTTGCAGACTGACCTTGGTCTCCTTTTCCATGCATCTGTCCAGCAAATTCCCAGGGCTTGTATTGTCCCAGCAGCCATGGAATCGAATTGTCATACAAACATTACAGCACCCTTCTGCTCTAAGGCTTTTTCACTGGGAAAAGCACTGAGTTTTCCCAGGCTGCACTCGGATTTACAGTATGACATGCTTAGCTTCAGGGCAAGATGTTTTCCATACTCAGTAGATCTAGTTTTATTAATAGCCCCTCTGTAAATGCTATGTGAGAATCGTTAATCAATTTTTCTAATTGGCCTAACAATAGAATTCCTGAACCAAAAGACAGAACAAACCTATAAAGTCATTGTGCCCATGACTCCCTACAGCGGGGGATTAGTACCTGGATCACACTTTTTGGAAGTTTGTTTCAAAAGCATCCCCTGCAAAGAAAATGACACTTCTGCTAATCTGCCACATGACAACTCTCTTGTCATCTTAACTCTTACTTTGATGTAGTCTTTTCGCACACACATTGTGAAAAAAAGAGGAACTCTACAACCTAAATACCGGTCTTGAAAAAGCCAGCACTAACTTTAGAGTGGTTTTTTCTGGCCAATGAAGTGTGCAAATAATCAAGCTATTATGTACCAGTGATAAAAATGCTCATTATTAAATGATGTTCTACTGCAACTTCTTCTTCTACATTCTCTATGGAAAGCACAGGGCTTCGTAAACTACTATTTATGCCTGTGGAGACAGGGCACAGTAAAAGAAGACTACCAGTGAAACAAAGGGGAGGAGGATGTGATAGAATTACTGTACTGTAATGTCACTCCTGTGACGAATCCTGCCTCCATTGTTTCTGTCAGAGCTTTAAATTTGAGTGGGACCTGTATTTCCATAAATGTCTCTGTGTTTTACCCTCGCATTCACGTGCCCTCTCTTCAGAAGTTGAATTCCTCTCCTTTATGCTGCTGAGCACATCAGAGAAATGCCAATGTAGGTTTGGAGCACTTGACCATCAGAAACAAACGGATATAATCTTTCTCCCTTTTAGGAAGTGCCAACAAGCATCCAGCAAACATGACTCATGCAGCCTGAGACCACAACCTTATAGCAACTCCCTGAACTAGTCAACATGGAGTGAAACGACAACTGACCTTGTCTCGCAGCCTTGATGTTAACAGGCTGGAATCCCCCATTGAGTGCCGAGGAGTCAATAATATCTGACTCAAAGTCACGGTGGTTCTTGCGATAGACAAACAGGGCCACGACCACGCAAATAGCCAGGCAGACGATGACGGCTATGACAATCCCCACGTAGAGAGCGACATCATCCGAGTCAGGAGCAGCTAGAGGGAGAGAGGCCAGGAACCGTGAAGAAATATGCTCCTCACAGGCACTTTCAAGAAAACACATTCTTATCATTCTTGTTTCCTGCAGATATTTACTACCTTTTTTATAGGTTAATTTAAAATCCATTTCCAAAGCTATATAACAGGTCTACGCCCTTTTGATGGACAATGATCTTTGATTTCTTTCTAACGTCTGTTCTAACTTTTTCCCTATCTAGTTGTTCATCTATCTAGCACCCAGGCTGTGAACTACTAAGCATAACACGTTATTGACTTTAGTCTCATGAAGCAAATTCACCCTATGAAATAAAATAGTACCTCTTAGTGACACAGTGCCATAATATTGGTATTTAGTGGTTCATCTGATAACCAAAAAAATGTTGTGGGTTTTTAAACTTCAGAAGCCTCATTTTTTAATTAAAAAAAAAGTCAGAACCCCCCCAAAAGTCCATTTTCTATGGAATACTTGTAATACTAGCACATATCTTTGAGTTTGCTTTTTTTGAACTATAATGTGTCAAGCCATTTTTCCCCTTCTATCCATTTCCTTTAAAAAAATATATATAATCTAGTAAAGCAGAGAATCAAACACTGAATTCTCATCCCTGGCATTAACACATCTGCATTTGGATAAAAGCTGAAGCAAGCGCAAGAAAGAATGTAGTCATTTACGAAAAGAAACCCAGATTTATTAGAGCTGTCTTGTGAGAAAATGGCTACGATATTTCTACTAGCTGTTTATACCGTATCTTCGGCACTAATTCCAGCATAATCTCTAGCATCATTATCCACTAGACTTTTTTTTTTTCCAAAAGATCTGAATATATGACCAAAATTTGATATGTTTCTATACAATGAAGAATCCCAGTCTTAGAGATAGCATGATTAAAAAAAAAAAAAAAAAGTGCAGAAACAAATCAGACTTTTTAAAACCCCATTTTTGTTAGCTTGAAACAAGTGAAATGATTGTTATTCCTTTTTTTTTGCTCCCTGCCTTCTAGCCATTGAAGCCAGGCTGCCCTCCAGCACAGAGGTGAGAGATGGCAGATGTTGAAAGGGACCAATCACTCTCTGTAAGCTCCTAGCTATCAGACCTTCCATGTACCAGCCTCAAAACATCACATTTTTTTCCTCAGCAGTTCAGGAAGCAGATCTCTGAGTTCCAGCTCAAAGAAAAGTTCCCCCTGCACCACATTTCTTCCATTTGCTAAGGAAATTTTAGTGATAAGATGGTTCATTCTCTCCAGTTTCTGTCTCTGAGGCAGCATCTTCTCCCATTTTCCTCATTATCATCCTGCATCCACCAGCTGACAGCGAAACACTGGGGCTGCTGTCAAGCAAGCAGCATGCCACTTACTCTGCTGAACAGGTCCCTCTTTGCCTAGTCACACAGAGCTGGCGCAACAGTAAAGCTTAGCCCAAGGAACAGCATCAAATTAGAATCCAGGAAAGTAAAATCAAACATTAAACTTACAAGAAAATCCATATTCATTCTGAGTTCTCTGTTCAGTTGAAATAGGATAAATGAAACCTTAAAAAGAAAGAAATTAAACACAAATGGGAACAAAATCAAACAAATGAGAAGAACAAAAAAAGGGTAGCATGAAAAATGGTTTAATTAAAAAAAGAAGGAAAAGAAACTGATGGCACTTTAAAATTCTGATACAGCACAGAATTATGATTTTGCATCCCCTGTCTCTTCCAGAGCCTTACTAAGAATTAATAAGTAGGCAGATTGAATTTCTAAGCCAAAATCGGTCTCGAGTCACTAACTTTGGAGTGCTTAAAGTCTTTCTTTTATTGAGCATAAACTCTAATGGATCTAATTTATTTCAGACATCAAGGGTCATTAGCATACGGAAAGTCTTTTTTTCCCTATCCCTGCCATATGCTTTAATTCCCAGGACATGTTCGGTGAGGCTCTAAACAGTTTTTTTATTTAATTATAGTAGCTTGCTGTTGATCTAATAGAGCTAAAGGAGACCTGTCGTCACTGGTCAGAGGTTAAATACCCATTCGCTGAGCAGAGCCCATGCACAAAGCCCTCTCTCTCTATTTCCTTGGAATTATTTTATCCTGTCTTTAATATGTGTTCAATAGGAATTCCTCAGGGAGCAAAGAATTTGTCAGCAAATGGGAAACTGAGTGGCTTCTCTTCAAAATCATTACAAAATCAATAAGGCCCCTGGGATCATAACATTATTTATCTGAAATCTTTCCAAGCACCGTATATTGACAAAATCATAACACAATTTATAGCCTGTATTTCACAATGGATAAGGAAGAGAGACCATTTCTTTTGTCTTTTTTCTTTCTGCAGCTCCTACAGTCCTGGGAACTCCCTGCAGGTGAAACAAAACTGGAAAATGCACTCCTGATGTGTGCCTAATGCACAGGATTACGCTACAGGCAGACCAGGGTAATAATCCCCAGCTCCCAGAAATGCTGAGCTTGGATGCTCAGCATCTATTGTGCTTTACGTATCTTTTTCCTGCTCGGCTGCACTGCTTGCTAATGAAGATATAGTCTATCCCAATTGCAACATATAGATATACCTCCCCACCTGAAGTTTCCAGACATTAACTATCACGTAATACTACCTTAACTGAAATACCAGAGCAAGAAGAGCTGCTTTTTGATGATTCTTCTGGGGCATCATGGGACAGACTATATTGCCTGTAATATCTATGTAAAACTTTGTTTCACAGCAATGATTCAAGCCTTACAATTGCTTTTAGAAATATTATGTTCTTACGTTCATTTATTCGGTTAGGCTCACCTATGTGTATTCCCAATGTGCATACTCAATCTTTCATAATAACAGCTTCCTACTTCTACTAGTGTACTCCAGGTACTGGCCATAAAAAGTCAGTTGAGCAACTTCTGAAGGCTTGAGTGAGCGCTCAGCAAGTCTGGGCATGAATTTACAGTACCCTAGTTACTCTCCACTTACTCCCCAGATGAATGCTGAGGCCCATATTTAATCAACCTTAATTTCAGCTATAGCCTTACACCCAATATTTCTTTTGGCAAGATGTCTCCAGAGACCAAGAGGCAGCCAGCGGGAAATACAAGGCACAGGATAAGGTGGAATTTAGGTTGCCTGCACCTCCAAACGCCTTTTTGCCTTGTACTCAAATCCACTGTGAAAGCTGAGGACATCTCCCTGCACTTCACATGCCCCAGCATGTTCTCAGGGGAGCTGGCACAGGACAGCATGGGTCCCCCGGCTCTGCATCACCCACGGAGTTGGAGCTATTCCTCTCTCCTTATGTTGCATTTCAGATGGCAAGTTTTGCATTCAAGGTTGTGCATTGTTCCTGACATGACTGAAGTGACCTAGCAACTGCCACTCAATGGGCACAAAGGATGGCACCACCTGGGCTAGCTGTGATGTTACTGAAAGCATTCTCTCCTCCTGGGAAAGTGGAAATCCAAATTCAAGTATTTTCAGCAAAGTAGACAAGTGTGGTCCTCAAATACTCTAAAAGAAATTCACCTCATTGCAATCTTTTCATAGACCCTGTTTGTCACAAATACTTATTTATGTCTTTCAAGTTTCCATGCAAACGTAGCCTGGCTTGCACAAGTATCTATGAGGACATATTTTCAGCGTGAAAAACATGGGGTTTTTTTACACAGAAGGAAGGCATGGTTACGGTGGAGGGGCTAAGGGCTGCTGAGTGAGATGCCATGCGTTTGCATCACGGCCGTGCCCATTTTTTGCTGAAGGACAAGAGACACAGCTGACCAACCTGGCCTATTTGTTGCTGAAGTACAAGAGCCACAGCTGACCAACCTGCCCATAGACGGGACAGGTGGCCACTCGTGCTGGATGTAAAGTCCTTGTTGTGGAGGTCATACAACCCTGCTCGCTCCCATTATGTGGGCAGGCTCCCCTGGCCGACGCTTGCAGAGACCTTTCCTTGGGTTGACTTTCAGCATCCCAGACAAGCTGGCAAACCCAGCTGTCTGCTGGGCAAACGCCAGCTTATTTGCACTTGCAAATGAAGAGTATTTGTTGGAGATCTCTCCAACATAGCAACTACAGACACCTTCTGCCATTTGGGCAGGACTTCTTAGAATAAAAC